TAACTAACAAAATATTATAATCAACCAAATCATAAAATTTCAATAATTTCAGTTTACAGAATAATATATTAGATGGATAATAGTAATGTTTTTGAGTGATAACTCTTATAGCTCTTTTCTGCAAAATAAAAACAGGATGTGCAATAGTCTTACATGCTTTATGCCATACCTCAACACAATAGACCAAGTGTGGAACAATTAATGTGTTGTATAACAAATACAGAGCTTTATCATTAAACAAGTCCCTTACTTTGTAAAGCAATGCAATAGATTTAGCTAGTTTTATTCTTAAATAATTTATGAAGTTTCCATGTCAGTTTCTCATCAATAATAACACCCAAAAACCTCGCCTCACTGACTCTACTGATCTCTACACCACCAACTCTAAATGGAGTGTTAACAGTTCTTTCTCTTTGTAAATATCATACAATTAGTTTTGTACAAGTTTAATGATAATTAGTTAAATTTATTAAATTTCTTAATTTTGCTTGCATCAAATTAAAAACAAGCATATGAATAGTTTAAAAATGACCGTTTCTTCATTTTAGTAGGTGATATTGTTTTTATCTATTGACTTTTTTACAGTATCGTTGTGTCTTTAAGGCACATCATTTTTGTATTTCTGCTAACAGTCAGCCAAAATCTTACGTGTGTGTTTGATGGTGCAGAAGATGAAGGCTTCTCTTTATCTGATTCGTATAGCTGCAAACATTCCTGAGCCGTCTGCTGATAGCAGACACAGCTTTTCATGTCTGGTCTTGCTGTTGACTGACTGCGTCCTTCTATATGTTTTCTCCTCCTTCAGACCAACCCTCAGTGTCTTCAGATTGTCTCTGGAGCTGCAGCCGTCCTGTGAGAGCGAGGTCAACTAGCCCTGTCCCTGCAGAGACGGAACACCACCATTCCAAGGGGAGATGAAGCCGGATGGGGTTGCCACGGCAGCACTGGAGCCAGTGGAAACACTGGAATCTAATCCAGTAAATGAGGCAGCAGCCCCTGCAGGGCAGGAGCCCAACCCTGCAACCGCTGCAGTGGAGGAGGCCATGCCTGTCGCAGAGATGAGTCAGGCAGAGCCGCGGTCAGACCAGCCCAAGGAAACTCCAGGTGCTAAGACCAGCATTACGGCCTCAGGAGACACCAAGGCCAAAACTACCAATAAGGTCACGATTAAGACAAAAGGCAACGCCACCAACGCACCCAAGACTTCATCTGGTCCGCGGTCCACCACATCCCAGGGCCGCCTCTCAAATGGCACATCTAAGCCTCAAACTAACGGTGTAGCAAAGAAGACTACGCCTGCTGCAGAAAAAAAGAGCCCCCCGACCTCTGCTTCCTCCAGAAAACCAGCAGCTACAGCCGGGGCCCCAGCCTCCAAGAGCACCACTAAAGTGGGTGAGAAGAAAGCCCCAGGGGTTAGTCCTTACATCAACAGTACAAAGTCTTCAACTGGAGCACCAGCAGCTAAAAAGACCCCGTCCTCCACCGCTAATGGTGTCAAACCAAGCCCCACTGGAGCTGCAGCTAAAAAGCCTCCAGGTTGGTTGTATATTTTTATACCGATATCAACAGGAAGTCTGCTGTYTCACAAACACACAAAGGTTGTCTAAAGTGGCATCTGCTGCTGCACTAATGAGTGCTGCTCATTGTAACACAACACTTAGGAAGCTGCCCACTAATTGAATGCAGTGACCTGACAGACATGGCTGCTGCTAAACTGTAAATCCTTTTAACAGCACACAAAACAAACCTCTGCCTGACTGCTGGATGTTTTTATTTATCTTTGTTCTTAGAATATTTTACTTATTGTCTGTAACCTTTTCTTTCTACATATATCACCTTTTGAGGCTGCTGCCCCTCGCCTCTGGAATGCCCTGCCTGATTACCTCAGGGCGCCTCAGTCTACTGACTCTTTAAAGAAGCAGCTAAAGACATTTTTATTCCAACAAACTTACAGCTAACTTCTCTTCTATCTCATTTATTATTCCATTTTATTTTTAATTTTTTTTATTTTTATCCTCTTTTATTGTTGCACTTAGAGATCTGCTTTCAGATATAAAGTGCGTTACAAATATAATCTATTACCTCTCTTTTGTAGCGGCTAAGCCTGCCGGTGCAGCTCCCTCCAAGACGACTGCTGCCTCCTCAACCAAACCTGATAAGCCTCCCGTTTCCAAGACAAGCAGGTAGGGTTGGCATTTATCTCCGACCAAAGCCTCACTCATTCATGTGTTGGCAAACACAGGGCTTTAGTGTTTGTAGACAGCACAGGGCGCTGTCTGTCTGGAAGAAACATGTTCAGACATTACTTGTTCACAAATTCATACACAGGGTTCAAGCAGGGTCTTAAAAAGTCTAAAATTAGAAAATCAAAATTTTAGACCTAAAAAAGTCTTTAAAAAACATACAGATTTTCATCCAAGGTCTTAGATCAAATTTTGTCAAGTCTTAATTTTTTTTACTGTCCATCATTCCAGAGAAGCGTTGGCTGCATAAATAAACAGAGTAAAGCATTGTAATCAGAGGTTCACGCGATCTGTCTTCATGAAGTGCTAATTTTGCTACCAGTCTTTGTACATGGTTAAACTACAAAAGCTGTGATATCTGCAGGCAAGAAACAACACAGTTTACTTCCATGTTTTCAACCTCTTTGCTGCTACAACCCCTCACATACGGCAGCTTGTTCACCTGCCCAAAAAGCAAAGAAGTTCAGTCATGTCCTCTGCTTGTGGTTTAAACATGGTGTGTTTATCAGCAGTCAGATATGACCATTTCAATAAAATAATTCAGTGTTCTTGGATTAAAATTAAATATTCTTTAATAGCAATAAAGGGTTTCTATGATAAAATTTCTGGGAGCATTTGAATGTTTGTTAATGCATCGGTTTGGTCTTAAATGTCATTCCTAGTGGTCTTAAAAGGTCTTTAAAATGTCTTAAAATTAACGTACTGAAACCTGCATGAACCCTGCATACATTTTCTTCGGGAGAGCTAGAAATCCTAATAAATCACCAAGTCAGTTTGTGACTGAGTTCTTGCAGCAGAAGGCTCCTCAGTTCTAACAGAAAAAACAAAGTCCCTTTGCTCCGGGTTCAAAGAGGAGGCTGATAAAGAAAGAACACCCTGGAGAAATGAGGGACAAAGATCCCCCACATAGAGGCTTGGAGAAACATCCATAAGTAGGCCAGCAACCAGGCAGCATCGGAACAAGCCTTAGAGGAATGCCTCGTGGCATTTCATCAGAGCCAGCATTATTTAGCTTTATTAATAAAACAAGTTTTGCTTTAGAGCGGGACAGAGGTGCAGCCAGAACAACAGAGTGCTCTTGGTGGTTTTGCACCCTTAAAATGAGGCCTTGTTTGTGTTTTTATTTGGCAGTATGTGTTTAGTGTTTTGGGTGGAATCAGATCAGCATGTGTTTCTCACCCGAGTCACGCTGTGTGGGTGATGTTAGATCCTGAGGTGAGCTGGCAGTAGACTGGGAGTTGGCTGAAGGAGATCTTTGTCTGAGACTGTTATGATGATCAGTCAGGTCCTAAAAAAGCCTTTTCCTGTAGTTTGTTTTTGGAAAAGTATTGCCCTTTTTCCTTTGTACTGTTACTTCATCTTGTTGGTTTGTTGCTAAGTAAGCATCGAGTTTCAAACTGATTGGATCATTTGGAAAAAATGACAAATCCAAGCAAAAAGTTCGGGAATTAAAAAAAATATATTTTGAAAAATGCCATCGAAGAATATGATGTTTTACATTTTAACTAAAAATATCTTCTGACTCTTTTAGAACACCTTAAATGTGCTACAAATAGGTCATTTTAGGTCATCTACACTCCACATGGAGGTCCTGTACTTTGGGAGTTGTGGGATTTTTCTATGATGCATTCAGTGACCGAAAAAAATGGGCAGACCATAAAAAAATACTGTTACCAGTCAAGCTGGTTAAACTGAAAGTTTGTAGATCCCAATTATCCTACCTGCTGAGCCAGTTCTGCATCATTAATTATGATAAAAAATTTATATATATAAACAGTAAAATGTGAAGAAACAATGTTGATCAGCTGTCTTCTGATGTTTTAAGTGTGTTACTTAGACTCATTCATGCATGTTTGAGAAATCCTTGACTCTCCTGTGGCCATGTGGAGCTGCCTAAACACTTGCTGGTACAAAGCACCTCCCTGGAGCTCAGTCTGCAGCCGAGCTCCCACCTCACACAGCACGTCTCCCCTGGAGCATTGTTGTGAAGATGTGCTGAAGTGGGAGTGTCAGAAATGGTAGGAGGTTCTTAAAGAGACAGAGGTCAATTTCAAAGTGTTTAGATAATTTATTTTTGATATACAGTATACAGCCTTTTCATAACAACTGAAGATAACATTGTTACTTGATTGTGCTGTAGAATTGAACTATGTGCCTGGAAAATACAAACGATGCATAATACCCCCTCTAAGAAAGACAGACATGTAGATAAAATAAATAGTGTTACATAGCTTATCAAAACACTTACAAGGTTTTCTAGATATAAGGTGAAGCTTACAGTATCTTTTGGCATAATTAGACAATTAGTAATCAAAAACAAAAAATTGAATATATTGGAAATTATACAAACCTCAGGCCAAACTTTTTTTTAGCAGGACTTTGTTCAAAGTATTGTGTGATTGGTCAGAAAGTTGTGAGTGTTTTTGTTTATACAGACAATTGCTTGGACAGAAATAGCTTCATTTTGCCTCACCTATACTTTCAAAAGCTGGTTGTTGTACGTGCAAGCAGCACCGATAGTTATGTGGAGACCAATGCAGCCACATAGTACATCCAACTATATGACTCTTATACACTTATAAAGTGCACAATGTCTGTGTCAAATGATAACACATTGTGCACGGAGGAATCCGTCTGTCAGAAACTGTGGCGCTCTGACAGATTTGTGGCAAAACAGCAAATACAGGGACAGTGGAGACTCCAGCAGGAAAACCTGATCAAGGACGTGTCGCAGGAGGGGTTTCCCAGGAGTTCTGCGCCGTGTGTCTCCTTAATTATGAAAGGTGCGAAAACAAACATCTCGCAACTACGTGACCATCAGATGGAGGATAAAACAGCTTCAACTCCACCAGTACACACTAACTGCTCAGATGTTTTAGACCCCCCAACCCCCCTACTCTTTGTGCCTCTTGTAGCAGCTGGATTGTGGAGATTACACTCAGATTACAGCTTTATCCAATGTGCAAACATCTCATTAAACAGAATTAAACAACGTCACGCTGGTAATCGCCTGTGCATTGAAGTACACTCACATCTATGAAACGTGGCGGTGTTTTCACTCATAACTACTAACAGGATCAGTATTGGAGCACTAAATCCAGGTTTTTTTTTGGTGATAAAGTACCTCAGGCTCTGATCAGATTGTGTGTATTAGTCCTCTGCTGTGCGAGGCAAATTTATGTCAGACAGGATAAAATTGATGGAAAGAACCAGTGAAGATGCTTCAAAAGACTGTTTAAGGGCAGCTCCTGGTTAAATGAGGAAGTTCAGTGATATCAAAGTATACTAGTAACTTGCATTTCTTGTTAGATTAATTAGATTAGTACATAAAGTAAACAAGAGGTTAGAGTCAAGCCAAGAAGAGTTACTCAAAAACGTTTCACATGAGCTGCACTGAAACATACTATAGATGATAAGTTCTGGTTACAATATACACCCTGAAGGCACATTTGTGTGTGTGTGTGTGTGTGTGTGTGTGTGTGTGTGTGTGTGTGTGTGTGTGTGTGTGTGTGNGTGTGTGTGTGTGTGTGTGTGTGTGTGTGTGTGTGTATCTTGTCATGTTCTTTGACAGGCCCATAAATTTTAGCTTTAATGAGATTTTGCCCTCTCCCTCCCTCGCTCTGTTGTTAATTCAGGCCTGTTATGTTTCAGCTAACTGCAGAGGAGCTGTGTGTTTCTGTTTACTCAGTCTTCCTGTAAAAGCTCAGCTGATTTAATTCCACTTAAAGCAGGTTCCAGTTATCGGACAAATGAAAGTGCTGGGCCCGGTCTGGCTCTCTAAGTTAAATCAATCTAAGGATTCTCTTCTTAAGGTCTTAGCTGGATTTAAGTTTGGAGCTGCAATTGATTTTTTCTTTCTTTTTTTTAAGCATTTTTTCTTCAATTCATTTAAAGCCAACAGTAAAGGAATCTGTTTTTTTTTTTTGCTGAAGCTTTTTCTCTCTGTTACTTCTCCGCACTTTATTCACTTACTAAAACAGTAACAGGTCAATAAAGGTGTTGAAGATGTGTTTAAAGTGATGCAGTGGGGTGTTTCTGGACTTATAGTTGTGAGTTCGTGTTAATAACACCATGTGTGTAAATATTTAACAAGTTTTGACCTTTTATATGTATAATAAAAAAGGTCAGCACTATATCATGTCGAAATCGAAGCTTCCAAAAGAATTATCACAGCATGCTGTGTGTTTGCTGTAAAGAAACTGTTTTGTGTCTCCATGTGGCATTCATGGATGCCTGTACTGTTAGAAAAGCAGCCAATTACAATGCAGAGCATGTGTTGATTTGCAGGTGAAATACTAAGTGTGATGGGAAGGTAAAGTGGGGATGAAGCCGTGCTGGACATGTAGACCATTAGCACCTGACTCTGACCTGCTTTTCCCTGCCTGCACACCTTCTGTCTTTAGACTGAAAACGGTTGCAGCAGAGCATGAACACCACATTAATGAAAAAGTCATTTTAGTCCCACCTGAGCCCCATCACTCCTGCCAAAGATGGAGTGTGTTTTAGTTCTTCGTGAGGCGAGTGAGAGAAAGAAACAGAGTTTCAGGAAAAGGAAGGTGAGGATCAGAGCAAACCAAAGGACTTATTACCTGCTGTAGATCAGAGGACAGAACAAGACCATTCAGACTTTAATGCTCAAACATAGCTGCCTGTGTCACCACATTAGTCCCGCTGTTTTTCACCCTGATGGTCCCTCAGGGGGTGATAAATTTTTATTGGATGGGATTAAATGCAGCCCCGCATGATCTAACAAATTGCAGCTGATGTAATGGTCCGGTAAGAAGGGCCCTCGTTTCAGGCTCCATTCAACAGTCCGGCATCAAAACGAGGACGTGTTGCGCAGGCTGTAAATCTTCTGGCCTGCTCCGGGCGTGGCCGATGACTCCACGATGCACTCGTCTGCTTGGCATGATCACATCGGGGCACAGCCAAAGAGCCATTCACTGAATGGATTTGATTGGAATGAGTTGGAGAGAGAGAGAGAGGGAGGGAGGGAGGCGCATGTCTGACTGTGAGGAAAAAAAGATATTTGTGGGTGTTTCAGTCAGACTGCAGACATGGCAGATGTGTGATAATTAAAGGGCTTTGTTGATTTGTTGCTCAAAAACAGACTACCGTTATTTTTTAAATTCACTTTAGAAAAGAAATGCAGCCATTTCCAAACCAAAACATTAAAATATTTTTTKGAATTTGATCTTACCTTCTGGCCAAACAAAAAGTCGCCACCAAAATAAAAGGTCACACACTAATATTTCATTGGATTTAGCTTTGATTACAGCATGCATTCACTGTGGCATTGTGTCGATAAGCTTCTGCAAAGTCACAAGATTTATTTCCATCAGTGTTGCTTTAATGTTTTATCAAGATCTTGCATTGATGATGGTGGAGTCTGACCTTCTCCAGCACATCCCAAAGATTCTCACTGGACTCTGTGGAGCCAATCCATGTGYGAAAATGATGTCTCWTTCTTCCTGAATTACTCTTTAACAATTCCAGCCTGATGACTCCTGGCATTATCATCTTGAAACATGCCTGTGCCATCAGGGAAGAAACAATCCAYTGATGGAATAACCTGCTCMTTCAGTATATTCAGGTAGWCAGCTGACCTCATTCTTTGAGCACAAACTGTTGCTGAACCTGGACCTGACCAACTGCAGAAACCCCACATCATAGACCTGGTTAAATCCACGTTTTGTTTGGCTGGGCATTGTATTTGTACACTGTCTTGTGTTTTTATGTTCTGCTTTGTGTTGCTACACAGTGCTCTGGCTTCAAGCTAAAACAGGAAGTCTCAGCTAGCTTTATTGACCCCCACAATAAAAGCTTAGTCAACAGAAGTCTGTAATAACAGCACCACTCAGTCAGCCTGATGGCCTTCATTCTATAGAGTAACGATCCTGYTTTCATATTTGGACCATTTAATTAATGCAGCAGTGTCTTTAATACGCCGCTCCTCTTAAAGGCACAGAGTTCCTTTTTACCATAATTATCTGCCTCTGCTGCAGAGAAGATGTCTGCCTTTGTGCTCGCTTTTCTCTTCCTTTACTCGCTTACCCTCGTTTACAGTCCCATTATTTAAATTACAGCCTGTGTTTTGTTGTGCTGCGACAAAGAAGCCCCAGCAGGCAGCCATGTTTAAACACACCTCTTGTGATTGAGGTCGTGCACACGTGCAATAAAATGAAAATCTTTTCAACGYGGTCTTTTCGGGTTTTGCCGTATGCATCAGTGCGCCTGTAGCAACAGCTAACACTCATCTGATTTTTCAGCTTCATTGCATTTCTGTTCAGCTTCAGCCTTAACCATGGTTTATAGTGTTTCTCCAAACAAGGCCTGTGGTGAAAACTAAACAATGAGCACGGCTTTTCTCCTTTAATACAAGCAGATCTTTGGGTTAAATTCGGCTCCATTGTTTAAACAATAGGAGGTTTCTCAGTTATTGAGCTGACAGAATGAAGTGTGTGTGTTCTGACTTTAACACTGTGACCAAGTGGTGTTAACCTTCTTCACAGCACACCGATTTTTAGAAAATTTGTTTGTGCTTTCATTCAGAATGGCACAAATTCAGAAAGTATTTTTACTTTGAGCTTAAACTATTTACAGATTATTTGGTGTAAATTATACTTCCTTATCAGCTGCTTTAATTCAGATAAAACTTTAATAACAGAAATACAGAGGATTTTCTTTAATATAAATTTAGCTAATTTAGATCCAAATTTACCTTTAGCTTATCTCAAATGGTAATCAGTGCATAGCAGACCTGCCAACCACTTTATGGTTTAAAAAGACACTGACTTGATAAAAATGTCAGCGAAGTAACAAAATGCTCAAAAACCAGAACTGAAAGCTGTGGATTAGCTGCAAGACCTTATGTGAACTCCTGAAATCACCACACCCCGGTTTGTTTCCACCCGTCCCTCTGTCTTTATTTGATGTTGTTTTATAAACAGTATTCCGTTGCAGCTGCCAGGTTGTGAACAGCTCACTCGGCTTCATTACCCTCACACAATGARTGTGCTTTTATCAGCGTCTGTTTCCAGCTGAGCGGGGGAGATTTGGAGATGTTATTTTTATTCTCCTCTCAGCATTAAACATTAACTCAGTCCCAGCCATCTTCATCCACCTTCCTCCCTGTTCTCTTTCTGCCAGAACTAACTCAGTTCTTTATTTAGAAGCATGCAGTTAGTGTAGCGTGGGCCCGGGAGATTGCACGCCCCAGACTTGTCAGGACCACTTGATGTAGGTTATTTCGCTCAGACGCGACATAGAAGTCAGCTTCTAGGCTAGGACAGACAGAGCAGGCAGAAAGGGTGATGCATGCTGCCCCAAGTGGCATTTCTGTGTCTGGAGGGAGGTACAGTCATTGGAGAGGGACAGGACTGACTTGGAGTTAGGAGGCCTCCCTGGAGGCTCATCTTGACTCATCTTTCTTTAGCCCTTCTCTCAAAGGAGTGCCACTGAGGGAGATTAAACTGGGTCTTGTTCTGCTGTTAACTAGTGTTTCACTGGCTGATTATTAAAAAGTAGAATTCCTCCTGACATGCTGGTTAATTTAGAGTTTACTGCAGACATTTTATTCAACATTAACATCCCTCAAATGTACTTAAAAATGTCTGCCATGCTGGGGTACTGAACAATTGTGCAGTAGATGTTGTAGACTGGGCATAGCTCGGCTCTAATCTGTTTCTTCATCGTGTTTCTTCAGGCCCACGGTCGGCACGTCGGTATCGTCTCGCCCTGCTACCGCCTCATCTCATTCAGCGGGCGCAACCAAGAACTCCACAGCTGCATCCAAAACGGCCACCCCTAAAACGACCTCCACCACCACCAAGACTGCTACTCCCAAGTCAACATCCACTGCACCCTCTGGTGGCAAACCTCCAGTATCACAAACATCAAGAAACACAACCCCAGTGAAAAAAGGTACAAAGGACAAAGTCAGCACTTGAATAAAAATGGATCTGTTAAGGATGAGAAGTGATACTACACAACTGCACATATATAAAACAGGCAGCGTAGGAAAGGTAATTTGACAGAGCCAAGTCCTTACACAAACATTTATTAAACCAGAGGAGTAGAAAGATTAAAGCATCAAGTTTGAGATTGAAACTATAAATGTCCAGAGAGCAACACTTGTTTACTTCATATTGTACATGTTTAACTTACATTTTGTCAGAACAAAAACAAAGAAACATTTAGCCGTCTTTTGTCCCAACATTAATTGTTTTTTTCTTGTTGTTTTTGGTTTTCTAGATCTTACCAAACCAGCCACTCCAGGATCCAAAAAGCTTGCAGACTCCCCKCTTTCTCGTCCTTCTTCTACAACAAAGCCGGCAAAAGCTGAGACCCCCAAACCATCTTCAAAAACAAATGTTGCCACCAAAAAACCTACCCCAAATAAGGATGCAGAAACAAAAACACCAAATCGCTCCAAACCACAAGAGAAAAAGTCTACACCTTCTAAGGATGCMTCCAAACCTGCCACCACAAAAACAGCTAAGACCCCCAGCACTAAGAAAACTGTAGGGAGCAGCACGCCCACTCCTGTGAAACGTGCTCCTAAAGCTGCAACAACTGCTGAACCTGGAAAAGAAGTTGCTGCAGCAGTAGCTGCCGCTGCTGCTGCAGCAACCATTGCAACTGCAGCTTCTGTGGYTGCAGCTCCAGAGGAGACTCAGCTCCACGCAGGAGAAGCTGCAGAACCRTCCGCTGCTGTTCCTGAAGCCCTGCAAGAGAAAACACCTGAGTCCACAGCCGAACCGGTGTCAGAACCAGTGTGTGAGCCAGCACAGGACATGAAACAGCCACCAATACCCCAACCATTGCAAGAACTCACCCCTGAGCCTGTGAGGGAACCGACACCAGAACCTGTGAGGGAACTGACTCCAGAACCTGTGAGGGAGCCGACTCCAGAACCTGTGAGGGAACCGACTCCAGAACCTGTGAGGGAACCGACTCCAGAACCTGTGAGGGAACCGACTCCAGAACCTGTGAGGGAACCGACACCTGAGCCCGTGAGGGAGCTAACTCCAGAACCTGTGAGGGAACCAACACCAGAACCCATGCAGGAACTAACTCCACAACCTTTGAGGGAACTAACTCCAGAACCTGTGAGGGAACTAACTCCACAACCCGTGAGGGAACTGACTCCAGAACCCGTGAGGGAACTGACTCCAGAACCCGTGAGGGAACTGACTCCAGAACCC